ATTACGTACACAGTAATATTAGCAAAAAAAAAAAACAAATTTTCCAAGGGGTTTACTAATATTTTGTACTAAATAATAATAAATAATGATCTTATCCATAATATTTGTTAAGTTCTTCATAAAATAATAATAATAATAATAATATGCCTGGTTCGTCACGTTTTCTTTCCTCAGCCGAATTTTGACGTCTCTCTAAATTTCAACATGCTAAAAACGTTAATTAAATTCTGTAAAATACTTGACGCGTAAATTTGATTTGTGGAGCCATTGTAAAGTAAATGCGCTTAACAGAATTTCCGCTGGCTGCCATTTGCAAGCATGTTGTTAATCTAAAAGTGTTTTCATTTTTTCTTCTTCTTTTTTGTCGCTAAATCGCCTGACAAGCTGCACCCGCCGCGCTGTATTCAACTTTTACTCCACATTGTGGCCGTCTGCCTCTCGCTGCCCTTGCTCCTCTACTAGAGCAGAGTAGAACTGCCAACTGTTTCTCTCTCTTTCGCTCTCTCGCTCTCTGCTGTAAATGCCTTGTGGCCAAGTCTCACTTTTAATTCTACTGCAAAAATGCTGACCACCACATGCCCGCTGGCAGCAAGTGCTGAAAGTGTGGGGGCGAAGCAGAGCGAGCGAGAGAAACTGTGAGTGTGAAAGAGAAAGAGAGAGAGAATAGGAGAGTGGACTGTGTGTGTAAGAGAGGAGTGAGGTTGCTACTGGTGCGAGTTGAATGACCAGCGTTAACTTAATAGAAGTTGACACATGTCGCCACGCATGCAAAATGTATTCATCCAACCGCAGAGCAGAGCGCGACGTTGACCGCTGCAAACACACACCCACACACACACACCCACACACACACAGCCACACACCAATACACCCGAACTCACTTCATCTATATATAGAGAGAGTGTTCTCTTGTAGAGGGTTATTGTTGCTGTTCAACGCACTTGATTTCAATTATGTGCGTGCTTCATGTCTGCCAATTAACGTGGCCATTGGCAGCAAGCCAGCCTGATTTCAATTCATATTAATAACACACACACACACATACACACATGCACATACTTACATAAAAAAGTAGACACTGTATTTCCGGCCGTTGCTTGTCAATTTGGAGTTTTATACATTTTTTTTTATTTTATTTTTTTTTTTTATATTTATATTTTTGCTCTCATTTCGCTGTTTCAACCCTCAACTCGGCTTTGAACTTTCCGGTGAAACGTAGCATGAAATTTGTTTGTTTACAAACTGTTTGTATTGCATTTCTTGCTGCTGTTGCTCTCGTTGTTGTTATTGTTATTGCTCTTGCTGCTCTCGTTGTTGTTGTTGTTGTTGTTATTATCAAATGCCGGAAATTATTGTACGCTATGGCATCAGCATCGTTGTCCTCTCATCGAAAAACAACATCGCGTCAACTTGTGTGTAAATCCTGTTTATATACATATACATATACATATATATATACATATATATATGTAAGCGCTGCCCTGACTTTTTGCTGAACGCTGATTTCATGCATCGTTGACTAATATCGAAAGCACTGTGCAGCAGCAGTACCAAACGGCAAATATGCTGATTGCCAAACAACATGGCCAACAAACAGGAAAAACAATAACAGTAAAACCGACGTTAACAGCAAGCAGGATCTCCCCGTCTGCCAAATGGCATAGGGCTTAGCTTGTTTTTTTTTTTTTTTCTCTCTTTTTGTTTTTCGTTCTTTTATTTATTTATTTTCATTGTGCTCGCCTCGCTTATGGATAATGATAATTATAGCAGGTTGAGCTTAAAAATAGCATGTGTAGAGATAGTTGTCTCTAAAAATAAGAGGAATGCTATGATGAGTCATTCCAAGCTGGTTTTCAAAAGTTTTGAAAGAGAGCGGAATGCTAGAAGTGGAATAGCAGATTAATTACATACGGTTTTTAATCAATATT